TATTCCAATTTGTAATTGTTAAGATGGATTTTATGATGATTATTAAAGTATAAATTGCCTTTAATGCGACTAATATTGTAAAACTTGTAATCTTGATGGTTGTTTAACATGTAATGGAAATAGAGTGTTATCAGATGAAAGAGTTTGTGATTGCCCTTTGGATTCAATTAGCCATACAGATACTCCATGGTGCTCAAGTATATTAATATATCTAAAATTTATAGATTGTGAAGTTGCTATCTTAAATATAAGATTTTCTGATGATTTACTTTCAATTAAAGTGATATTTGATTTTTCTTTAAATCCAAATTATTTTTAATCTTAGTTTTAAGAGAATATTTGTTTCAAATTTTTAGCTGATTAAACTATTAAATAGTTAGGAAATAATCCAGATTGTAAATTAGATTAGGAAGATGATAAATAATTAATAATAAAATTAGGGTCTAATGCTACAATAATACCAGGAGATTCAATTATATTTATTGATTACTCTATTGGTCATAAAGACTGTTAAACAACATTAAGTTAATTTATTTTTAATTAAGTAAAACTTCCTATTAATTTATTATCACCCATTATTGAATATGAAATACCTCAATATATACTTAATCCATGTGATGATAACATAATTTTTATTAAATCAAAAAGTCAACATGGCCTACGTAGCATAATAAGCATTACATGGTCTTATTTACTAATAGGATAAAGTGGAAATGCTAATTTGGAAGAATTTGTTTTAGAACAAACTAATCTATAATAATTAGATCTAATTATACCTATTTAAACTCTACCAAAATAATCAAAAATTACCTTTCTTGTTGAATTTCAAAATTTTATTAATTAAAAAGGATAATAACAGATTCAAGTTTAAACTCATTCTGGATAATTACCAACAGTTCTTTGGTTAGGAAAGAAATAATATTATACTTTTGAAATAATTGCATTATAATTTAAAATTTAGAAAAAATTTTGTTCTGATTCAAACTAAATTTAAAATGATAAATCATAATACTAAGTATCATTAGTTGAAGTTCACAGAAATACTTCTAATTCCAGAGCATCAAGAGTAGATGCTTCTTAAATAATTAGTGAAAATTATTTTGAAGTGAATGTAGAGAAATACACATTATCACCTAAAACTGCTTATACATTTAAAATGGAAACTCATGAATCTTAAACAGATTTTTCATAAACCTAAAATATAACGATAGAAATAAATCAAGGAGGTCTACTTTGTTAGTTTATTGGAACCAAAAAAATATAAAACTATAGAAAAGACTCATATATCAATATTTAATGCAAAGATCTTGATACTTAATATGAATGGAATGAAGATCCTGAAATAAAATTAGAAGTTAGCTGCACTGATTTAACATAAAATAGAATTTGCTCAAATTTTAATAATAAGATATTTTAAGTAAATAAAACTGATTCTATTCAATTCATCCCAAAACTAACTGTAAAGCCATATAGTATATGGAGTTGGAATGTCATAGCATCAAAAGAATAGCGTTAATATTAATTTAAGTATACAATTGTATTTTTAGATAATGATTTTAAAATACTTGATGTTTAACATAGTAAAGGATATACAATAAGACCAATAAATAATTATGAAACATTACAATTTGATTTTAATATTTCTTTTGAAGATAGATTTTATTTGTTACAATATTAAATTGCTATTATATATAACTTTGAAGTAATAAAGATACTTGAACCATAATATTATTAATATCATTTTCGCTTGTTTGATCATTATTAATAGTTCAGTAAAGGATACTAAATTAATTTAAAATTTCTAGCTTAATTTACAAATGATATAATACCTAGTTAATATGATCTATAATTAACTTTGAATTAGCCTCCTATTTGCTAGATTAAGTTAGGATCTCAAAGTCTTTAAGCATTACAAATATCAAAAATAGTTGCAAATTGTGATTTATAAGATGATTCTCCATTTACTTATTAATGTAGATATTTCTTAAATAATTAAGACTATAAGGATTTTTAAACTTAAAAATCAGATTATTCTTTGGTTCTAAGTAAGTTTTAATAATTTAATGCTTTTGATATGTATTTACCTAAAAGTGATGGAGTTGTTTTAATTTAAATTATGGATTCAAGAGGATCAATTACAAATCTTGAATAAAATCTGAATGTAACAGAATTTAAATTTAATTGTTCTGATTTTATACTTAGTAATTTGTTATATAAATAAAAAATAATGTTGCTTTTAGAAGTTATGATGAATCATTATAATTAATCTGAATGTATTAAATTATCAGAATAATTATTTGAATATACAAAGAGCTATTTAGATTCAGAAGATTTATTTGATTAATTATTGGCACTGCAAACAATAAAATTATATAAGAGATTTATAATTGAATTCAATAATTTTAATTCTTCTAAAAGAAAATTAAGTGAAACTGAATAAGAAAGTTGTTATGATAACAAGACAAAATTAATTTTAATTAACCATTCTAAAAATTTTAAGTATTCCACAAATGACATAATCAATTTTGAAAAAGAATTTATAAAATTAAAAAAATTTGCATAAAAAGTTATCTTAGCAAGATCCAGTTTAGAAGATTAAATCAAATAAAATGATATATTTATGAATGAACTACTATATCAATCTAAAGAATCAATTTCTAACTCTTTAGTAGCTATTATTCTATTTATTGATGATATATTTAAGAAAATCTATTAAACCTCCTTAAAATCTGATGATGATAAACACTAAATAATTGTATTAACAGAAAAATTAATTAATCTAATTGATTAAATTACTATTAGTGCGAGTTCTTAAGTGTAGGTAAATGATTAACAATTTACTTTAGAAGGTTAATAATTAAATTATCAAATAGCAAAAATAACAAAAGATGTTTTTAATTAATAATTAGGATTAGAAAAGGATTTAATGGATAGTTTAATAGTCTTTGTTCAAAAAGAATAATTGGAAATAAATTTTAATTATTTAAATATATCTAACAAGCATATATAATAATTAACAACATTTTTGAATTAGTCTTACTTTGAAATTGATCAACAATTTTACATATAAACAAAATTACAAAACTATCTCTACAAAAACTAATACATAAATTATGAACAATTAAAATCTGATTACATTGTTGATATAACTGAATACTTTTACTGTGTAGAAACGAATTTACCTGCCTATAGTTTTTAATGTATTCAGTATTCTCAAAATGGATCACTATTGTTGTGTAACCTATTAATTTAGGAGACTAATAATACATCTATTTAGGTTTCTTGTTAATGTTAATAAATGGGAGTTATATTTTTAACAAGATATTAAAATTAATCAGAAAATACAAAAGAGATGCAATCCATTTCATCAATTTCTTAAAACAAATATGTTAATTGTAATCTAAATAATTAACCTTTTCTTTTATTTCATGGTATTTATATAGTGTTTTCACTGTTTATGTATTATGAATTGCAAAAATTAGATGTTTCATTAATTAATGAATCCTATTAAGTCAAGGATCTATTAAAAAAGAATATTATTAGATTTTACAATTGTCAAAGTATTGTGAGAATTTTCAAAATGTCAATAAAAGTAATAATTCACTATTATAATTAGTTTATTCATGAAATAATTTGCTTATTTTACTGTGAGGATGTAGTTATAAAAAAAAGTTATAGATTTCTTAAACTTTCTATTTTTTTAAGTATTTTAATACCATTATCTTATTTTGAAACTTTTCTTATGGCAGAAGAAACTTTGATTTCTATGATAATCATCAATTATTTAATATTGCTTTTTTTAAGAATGATCCTTAAGATATTTGAAGCAATTTATAGATTTTAAGGGAAGTATCAGAATTTTGTAATCATTTTTTATTTAATAATCCATTTTTTGTCATACTTGTTATTAATTTATCAATACTAAATCAAGTAAAAACATAAATATATTTTAGAAATGAATGTAACTAAGAGTTAAATTACTATATGTTAATCTTAATTGGAGGCACAATAATATTGAGCTATGCTATTTTTGACCCAATTTTCATTTATCTGAGAATTGTACTCTACGTCTCTATCACTTAAATAATTAAAAAATAAGAATTAGATCCAATAAAATAATTTTTATATTTTTTTATTTAGCATTATAAATTGGATCAAATCTTTTAGGACTGCATAGATTTATGATTTTAGAATCTTTATAATATTAATGTTGTCTTATATTGAAATTTATTTATCTTTTTTTATTTATTTATTACAAAATTGATATGAATTTTATTTTGTTTGATTGATAATTTTAAATAAATAATATTTAATATTTCGAATACTATATAATCCCAAATAAACAAAAAAAAATTTTTAGAATTTCAATATTTTAGAGTTCAACTAAAAATTGATAATGTTTTGTTAAATAATATTGTAATAAATCAAATTAAAGTACATATCAAGCTGATAATGAATCAGTTATTCATAAACAATTTTTTCATTATTTAAATTTTAATCAAATAGTATTAATTATTAAAATTTTTAAATGATTAATTTTAAGAAAAGATTGAAAAACATGGAAGCCTATATAAAGTGATATAATGATTAACTAACTCTATGTCAATATTTTATTTAATAGAATGAAAATAAATATTTCTCTCTTCAATTTTGTTCAAAATATTAGCAAAATTTTTTATAAAAATAATAAGAAACATAATAGTAATATCTAATGAGCATTTAAAATTAATAGCTTGTTTTTTAACAAATTAAGACATATCAGTTTGAATTGATTTATTTTATTTCATTATATAAAATTAAGTTTTACAACTATAATGAATTCGCATATGTTAATTAAATTTTGTTATTATAAATATAAATAACATGTCAATTTTATTGTTATTTTTAATATATATAATTAAATTGGAATAAAGTATTTTAAAAAAATACAAGCCAAACATTTATATTATTCTTAATTAACTTTTAGAATATTTTCTAATTTATATAATATAAATAGATTAATGGATACCCCATAAGAATTGTAATTGTTCAAGAGTAAACAAAAAATCTAAATTTATTAGTTATTTTGGTTGGTGATTCAAAGGTTGGAAAAACTGACATACTTAATAGGTGAACAGTCATATTATAAAAAGATTTGTGAGAGGATGTTTAGCTAAACAATCACATCCAACCATAGGCGTTGAGTTCGCCACAAAAATACTTACCTTATCAGAAAATGAGTAAATAAAACTATAGATTTGGGATACAGCAGGTTAGGAACGTTATAGATCAATAACTAGTTGGTATTAAATAATAGTTATAAGAGTCATTTTCGAAAATCATTAGGAGCAATTTTAGTTTATGATATTACTAATGAGTAAACATTTGAAAGCTTAGGTAAATGGATAGCAGATATCAAATCTTAAACTGAAGAAAATCTAGTTATTATGATTATTGGAAATAAAAAAGAATTAGTTGATAAGAACGAAGATATAAGGTTGATAAATATTATAATAAATCATTGTAGAAAAGTATCTTCAGGTTATGCTTCAGACTTTGCTTAATAGAACAATTTATTGTATGAAGAAGTAAGTGCTTATTCGGGCGAGAATATTGAAAATAGTTTTATACGATTAGCATAAGGTATATTAATACAAAATTTTTAGAAATCATTAAATAGAAAAGGTAAAAACCAGTAGAGAAACTAGAGAATGCTAAGGATTTGAAGCAGATGTAATGATTATTATATAATGAATGAAATTTCATTAACAAATTAATATATAAATTTATTGTGAATTAATTTTTTTCTTTTTTGAAGATATGAGTACATTTATTTCAACGAAATAAGAATCATTTATAGAAAGACAAATAACAACTTAGCAACCAGAGACAGTTAAATAAGTATAATTAATTGTAATGAACAGTATACATCATACACAACTGAACCTACATTGTTGAGAGAAGACTATGCAGTTAAGAAAATAGAGAGACCTGAGGCATATTAATTTTGGCATAAAAAAGAGAAATATAATTCTTATGCCAGCAGAGTTTTAAATACAAATTACAGATCGTGTTCTGTTATAAATCCTGGACAGAGTTTTCAAATAAATAATGTTGGAAGTGGAATAAGTTAATCATAGGTTGATAACAATAATGAATTTTAATGCTGTACAAAATAATAGATGGTTGTTTCTGTTGTTATAGTATCAAGAGAAGAAATAGAATAACCATGGAGAGAGGAATGTCTTTATTTGCAATCAGTTATAAAAGAGTTAGAAAAAAAGAAAGAAATCAAAGTAGTAAAGGAAATAGATTATGCAAGAGTAATAAATAATATTTTATTCTTAGATAAAAGAACTTGAAGAGGAAAATTATCATTTACAATTAGAATTATAGTAAGCATAAGAGAATACTTTGATAACAGAAAGAGTGACTTAGAATAATAGTGAAGTTGAAGTGTGGAAGAGAAAGTTCTAAGAAGTGAATCATGATTATAATGAGGCTTAAGAGAAGTTAATGAATGTCGAAATCGAATTAGAAGCCTTAAAGAAGGAGAAAGCTAGAGTATAAAAAAATTAATATACTAGGCAGCCACTGCAACAACAACAGTTACAAGATCAACAGTAAGAACAGGCACTTCCAGCGTTAGATAAGCAGGATAAATTTGATATCGATCATATATTAAATTGGAAATATATTTTAAATAATTTTTATTTTAGTCATTATTCCTCTATTAAGACTTGCTTTTTATTTTAAAGAAATCTAACTTTTAACATTTCCTTGTATATCAAATTACCAAAGACCAATAAAACAAAGCCTATCAATTCAATCAAATTAGCCCACTTTGACGTATTTTCCCATACTCTAGAAGTTGTAGCAGTGACTATTAGACCAATCCCCCAAATCAAAATTGTTCTGATAGTATCAACAACAGTACGAGTTAAAGCAGAAACATATTTAGTGACATTAACACCGAAGATGTTAAAAAGTGCTATGCTAAAGATACCCATAACGACAGATACTGTCAACCATACATCTGCTCCTAATTATTGGAAAAATACATCTGTACATTCCCAATATCCCTAACCCTTTCTAAATACACATCCTTCTTTAAAATTGCATGGTATAAAATTGAGTATGGGCATCACAATACCGAAATATAATAATCCCCACATTCCTTCAACACCCACAACATAAAATACATGATAATTATATTATTTAAATAGTTTTTCTTCAAATATGTATTAAGCTGCTTAAGTGAAAAGAGAAACTATGATTAAAGCTATTGATATCAATTTAATCTCCCAACTGAAATCATCAGTTTTTGCTTTTCTAAATAGAAAATTTGACAATCCTACAATGAATATACCTAGTATGGCCAAAAGAATTCCAAATTATTGCTAATTTGACAATTTTTTCTTTAGTACAAATTTTGAAAATGCGGCTGTCACTATCATAAGCTAGATGTTTATAATCATACTCCTCCTCTCAACATTTAATAAATAGATGATGGAATGAAATTTAAGGCGACATGTTGCAAAGATGATGTAATCCCATCAAATAATGCTGGTATTGACAATATCTTAAATCCACCATCTTCTTTATTTGGATCTTTCTCAGCTTTCATTTAAAATGCAAAGTAGAAAATTAAACAAGTTGCTTCCCCTACAAACATACATAAAGCCTATTATTTAATATTAATAATACTTGCATATAAGGATGTATAAATGTTACTCCCTCAATTACTGTTGTATTTTAATACTTATAGACTAAAGTATTGAATGTACCCACTAAAATCATGCCCACCAATAATGAATTGATAAAAAAAGCACTTTTCTACTCAATATTCGTCATTTATTAAATTTTTGATTTTCAGGTTTAATATATATTATATTGAATTAATTAAAGCATAATCAGACTTTCTGCTAATTCTAGGGTCTTGTATATTATTTCTTAATTAAGAGCATTAGCTTTTAGATTCCTTCTTCAATTCCTTCTCCAGTTTTAGAACTACACATCTACCAAGCTTTTTCTTATTCTAAGTTCTTTAAGACTCCACACTCATCCAAAAAGGCCTTACAATTGATATGTTCTAAATCTGATTTAGTAAACATAATAAGAACTCCTATCTAAATAAAGATTTCATTTTACATTCAGAAATNTACATTCCCAATATCCCTAACCCTTTCTAAATACACATCCTTCTTTAAAATTGCATGGTATAAAATTGAGTATGGGCATCACAATACCGAAATATAATAATCCCCACATTCCTTCAACACCCACAACATAAAATACATGATAATTATATTATTTAAATAGTTTTTCTTCAAATATGTATTAAGCTGCTTAAGTGAAAAGAGAAACTATGATTAAAGCTATTGATATCAATTTAATCTCCCAACTGAAATCATCAGTTTTTGCTTTTCTAAATAGAAAATTTGACAATCCTACAATGAATATACCTAGTATGGCCAAAAGAATTCCAAATTATTGCTAATTTGACAATTTTTTCTTTAGTACAAATTTTGAAAATGCGGCTGTCACTATCATAAGCTAGATGTTTATAATCATACTCCTCCTCTCAACATTTAATAAATAGATGATGGAATGAAATTTAAGGCGACATGTTGCAAAGATGATGTAATCCCATCAAATAATGCTGGTATTGACAATATCTTAAATCCACCATCTTCTTTATTTGGATCTTTCTCAGCTTTCATTTAAAATGCAAAGTAGAAAATTAAACAAGTTGCTTCCCCTACAAACATACATAAAGCCTATTATTTAATATTAATAATACTTGCATATAAGGATGTATAAATGTTACTCCCTCAATTACTGTTGTATTTTAATACTTATAGACTAAAGTATTGAATGTACCCACTAAAATCATGCCCACCAATAATGAATTGATAAAAAAAGCACTTTTCTACTCAATATTCGTCATTTATTAAATTTTTGATTTTCAGGTTTAATATATATTATATTGAATTAATTAAAGCATAATCAGACTTTCTGCTAATTCTAGGGTCTTGTATATTATTTCTTAATTAAGAGCATTAGCTTTTAGATTCCTTCTTCAATTCCTTCTCCAGTTTTAGAACTACACATCTACCAAGCTTTTTCTTATTCTAAGTTCTTTAAGACTCCACACTCATCCAAAAAGGCCTTACAATTGATATGTTCTAAATCTGATTTAGTAAACATAATAAGAACTCCTATCTAAATAAAGATTTCATTTTACATTCAGAAATTCAATGTCTTGATTTAATTTCATAAGCTACTCCTTAACTTATTATAAGTTTTCTTTGTTAGAAGAATCTATTACAAATATTATCCCATCAGCATTTTCATAATAATGCTACCATAAATTTGGTGTTCTACCTGCTAAATCAAATATCAAAAAGTCCTTATTATTAAAATCTACATTATATCCTTATCATATAATTATAATCCTTACCATCAGTTGGCTGCGTTTCAATGAAATTTCCTCTCTTAATATATTCGAACAAGGCTGTTTTTCCACTTTATTCCAATCCAATAATTACAATCTTAGTTTTGATTGATTATTAATTTGCTTAAGCACTACAAATACAGCCCATACTTAATTGATAATATAATAATAATTTAAGTATCTATGGATGTAAATTGAAATTAAAATAACTCATAAATAGAAACAACATCATAATTCATTTCCGATTGTTACCCAATTTTTCCTAACATTGTTCCTTCTCCCAAATATCTCCAAATAATATCCTTTAATATAATGATATATTTACCATTTGGAACTAGTTATTCGACATACTAATATATTTCCTCTGGCTTCTGACTTTATCCTCTTCTTTCACTAAATATAATATCACTTGCAACACCTTATCTAAATCTATTTAGATCCAAATTTATGTTGCCCTAATTTATATAATGTAAATAATTACCTTTACACCAACTAAACAATTTTCTTTTGCATGTTATAAATAAAATCCATGACCTTTAGCTATTTTTCCATTTACAGTTTTCTTACACCATATGATTTCATCAATTAATTTGTAACCCCATTATTCAATTAACTTACATGTTACCTTATATTTAGCATTAATTGTCCTTAATAATAAATTTATAATTTTACCATATTAAAATAATACCATTCTCCTATAATGTTTCTATAGGCATTTTACTAATATTTTCATCAGCCAAAGAAGAATAAGCAATTGCAACTCCTCTTGATGGCTATGAACTTGATAATTACCAGGGTGGATCCATCATTATTACATCAAATAATTATCCTGAAATTTTCAATTACTCATCTTTTAATTTCTTAAATTATCATGAATTAAATTTACTTAAAAATCCATTAGTCTAACATCAGTACATATTGGAATGGCATCATTATGAACAAAACTTTATTTTGTATGATTCTCATGAAATTCTTGAATATATCTCATTTTATAGTGTTTTATTTTTTGCTCAATTTACTTTTTTAAATCTCTCAACATTGATTCAGAATTAGGTAATTTGTCAACATATATATAATCTTCATCCTATTTGATATATTTCTAAATATTACTTCAATAATCTCTTATTTCTTGTTTTTTTTTCCTTTTTCTTCCTCCTCTGATTCCTCCAACTCCTCCACATCCACAATATCCTCTTCTTCCTCAGAATTAGATAGATCTTCTAATTTCACTTTTTTGTAGATGTCCTCTTCATCTGACTACATTCAAATGAATATTTACGTTATCTATCACTAACTTTGATTTTCTCTTTAGTTATTCTTCTTATTGCATTACCCGCCTGTTTTTAATTATTAATTATATTTTTTAGCCGCATTAATCATGCGTTATAATGCTCCATATTATTTAGCTATGTATATCCTTTCATTAAATTTCAACTTTCACATTTATCTCTCTTATATCTTCAATTATATAAAATCAATATGAAAATTTTATTATTATTTATGTTTTAAAAATGTATTAATATTGTTTTATATAAAAATAAACCAATTCATTAGGATCCAAAAATAAATATCCATCCTAATTCCTTTGAATAATAAATAAATAAATATATGGTAAAAAAAGTCATTTTGTTATTATTATTATATATATAATCAATATTCATTCCTAATCTATTATAATTACCTACTCTTTATTAATCTTGAAAGTTAGTAATATCAACAAATAATTGATTAAGATTAATATAAAATGTTCATTAAAAAAAGAAATATTATGTTCATACACTCATAAATTATTAATTTATGGTTAAATATATTCCTACAAAGCGTCAATCAAAAAAAGAAACACTATAGGAACCAAAGTAAGCAGCTAGAGTTATTCGTCACTATCATCTTGAAGAAAAAGTTGATAAAAGACACAGATTCAAAACCACAAAATAATAACGAGAAGAAATTGATATTAATCTTTAACATAGAATTGAAGATATTCATATTGAAACTAAATCAGATATCTCTGGTTGTTATTTTAGAGACATAATTGAGTTGAAACGAAGTGCTTTATGTATACATATCATTTATATTTACAGCTACATTAATGGAAAAAAAGTATATGAATGAATCATACAATTATGCATAATCTTTGCCTTAAATTTTAGTTAATTTAAAACAATTACTAGATATTGCTTACACTTACTTAAAAGAAAAGGTATTTATTCTTATTATTCTAGAGTAGCAAAAATTTAGTATTAGATACCTTACCCTACTTAATAAAGGATACTAGAGAAGAATTCTATCCATATTTAGAAAGAACAATTAAAGAAATTTTATCTTAAATTGATATTGAATAAGTAGAACACTTAGAAAAGAGTTTCTTATTCATAGCTTATGCAATCAAATATTTAGAAAAAGTATTAATAGATAAATTTGAACCTTTTATTTAACTTATGTAAGATGAATGTTTCTCATCAAAGTTCAATATAATTAAAAAATTAGCATCTGAAGCAGTTGGATATTTATTTAGAAAGAATAGAACTTTAATTCATAGAGCTTTGAATATAGTAAATCATTAATAACTTAGTTATTCAATTTATATTTCTATTTAATCGATCAAAGGATACTTAGCATAAAATACTTTTAAGGTTATTGATGAAATTTGGAAAACTGAAAATAATGAACTTATTACTGAATTTTATATTGTCTTAATTCAAAATGTAGTTGAAAAACCTCATTAATCTCCAAAAATTATGATTAGTTTATTGGAAATATTTAAAGACTTAAAATAAAGAACTCAATAACTAGATTAAACAATTTTAATTGAATTATTTAAAAATAACAAAAAGAAGGTTACACCCTAAATTGTTTTTGAAGTTATAACATTTGTAAATAACTCTGATTCTATGGGTTACTTATTAAGACTCCGTAATATATAAGTTGAAGAGATTATTATTTCAAACAATTCATTTGTAAATAAAATACTTAATCAAATTACAATTGAGGAATTTTCCAGCATTGTTGATATAATTTTATAATAACCAACTCATTAAAGTTCTAATATTTATAAACTCTTAATTGCAGCAACTTTCTAATAATTATTCAAATAAAAAGAAGAAGCTTTAATTTTATTATTGAAATTAGATGAAATACATTGCATTGATAAATTAACACCTGATTAATTGGATCAATTATATAATTCAGAATTATTTAATAAGTTATTGTAAACTGACAATAATCTTTACATACTTTCTTTATGTAAATTAATCCAAATGGTAGAATTTCCATCTTAGATTAAATAATAAATATTAAATAAATTGTAAGAAACTTTAAATACTTTAAATAATAAAACAATATCTTAAGATTAAAGTATAGACTATACTGAAACAATTGAAAAAATCGAAAAACTAAGTTAATTAAAATTAGAAATAACAGAGGAAGTTGAATTGCTATATGCAGAATAACATTAAGATAATAAATCATTTGAAGATGGCATAATTATCAAGATATTGTAGAATCCAGAAATATAATAAATAGAATTGAATAGAACAATTTTTAATTTATTCAGTAGAATAAATTTATAAACAAAAGAATTCTTTACTTTAATAAATAATATTCCATAAAATCTTTTAGAGATTGGTTTAATGAGTAGAAAAAGATAAATAAGATTAATTTGTGCATAAAAATTATTTTAATTAGAGAATTCAGAATAATTATAATTAATGATTGATATTGATAGTGAAAAAATTAATATTGATAATGAAAGAAGAATTAAAAATTCAATAATAAATTTAAAAAACTTAGTTAATAAAAGTACAAATTAAAAATAAATTGAAAGATATGCTTTTGGTCTTGCATTTACAAAATTTTTATTAGTTAGATCAACAATTAGAGAATTATTAAGCACAGTTTTATCTAAATGCAATATTTAAAGTATTTTGAGAATATTTTTGATTACACATTAAGAATATTAAAAAGTGGATATATCTTATTTAGAAAAACATTGTTATTTAGAATAAGATGAAGAATAATTAGAATCTTAAGTTTGTTTTGATGAGGTATTTGCTTATGCTATTCAACATTGTGATTTAAATTAAAATATTAAATAAACTATATTTGATATTTCAACAAAATATTTGTAATAATAATATGAAGAAGATATTAATTGTACTAAAGTAGAATAATATTATAAAAGAAGATATGGAGATAAAACATCTTAATTTCATTTGAGAATGTTATATTAATCATCTTAGATTGAACTGTTTAAACATTGGTTACTAAAAGATGATGAATAAACATAAATGATAGCATTAAATAACATTAAATTTGTAGAGATCCAAAATAATTTATAAGAATATCATGGGATTATCAATGAATTTTTTAGTAGTATGGAATAGATGATTAATGGTAATACATTTAAAGGTGAAATAATAAGATTTTAATTGGATTTACCTTAACATTTATAAGAATAATATAAATTATATATACTTAATGTTTTATATCCAAAAATATTTAGTAAATAAAAATTACACAAAAAAAAGCATAAGAATTCTGCTATTTAAGTAAGAAGGAATGCTGTATTTGAATAATTAAGCAATCTAAATTTATAAAATGAATTAATTACTTTAATATAAGCTAATCATGGTTTTCATAATGATTTAAATAATGTACCTATTTAAATAAAAATATAATACTTGAAAATTTTAAAGAATTTGATTGAAAAATTTGGTTATTAAATTAATGTTGAATAATTAGAGAAATAAATTACAATAATTAGATAATTATTAAATCAAGCATATGAATTGAAATAAAATGAAAATGTTACTTCATTATCAAAAGAATTATGGAAAGTAGGAATTAAAAGGTTATGTCAAATAGTAAATAAATATCAATCTGAATAAACTTATACATAAATGATCTAAGATAATCTATAATTTTGTTTATAAGATAATGGATTTATTTAAGGATTTGAAAAAATAGTAATAGATTCTAAATCATAACCATCTGGAGTATTAAAATTACTTTAAAGTATTTGTTTAATAAAAGATTATTAATAATTTATATGTTAAAATCATGAATTATTACTTAGTAGATTTTTCTTATTATATGATTTTACATATATTAAACAAATATATTTGAATTAGGATGAAGATGGTCGATTGGCTCATTAACTTAAATAGTAAATATCTCAAAAGATTTCAGCTTAAAGAAATTGTATCTAAATTTTAAATAGTATTTTATATTCAATTTATTAATTGAGTGAACCATCAGCAACAATTGAAATTGAACCTAATTAACTAAGCTCTTTATTTTCTGAATAATATGGAGAATTATTATTAAGTTGTCTAATAAATAATGTTCGTTCAAATATTGAATCAGATAGTGAATAGATTAAAGATTTAAATATGATTTATCTTACTTATACAATATTGATGAATAGAAAGGAAATCAATAATTAATTACTTAATTAATGTTTATTTTTGTTTAGTAAATAAATAAATAATCCTAAGTTATATGATAGTCAAATATATAATCACAATTTAATGGGTAAATTATTAAATAATTGTATTAAATGCATATTAGATAAATAAATTGTAGTTGAATATGAATTGGTGGTTGATTTATTTTAATCATATTCATAACTTTTAATTCTAGTTAAGAATTTGACAACAAGAAATCTATTAGTAGATGTTATAATTTCAATGGCATATAAATTTAAGGAGTAATATCCTTTAAATGAAAATGATGTTTATTTATTAAAGGCTATGAATTAAAGAAATTAAGTTACTGAAGAAATAGAATTTGAAAAATGTTTAGAAGCTTGCTTATAATTTTAAAAGATAATCCATAATCATTAATAGACAACTGAATTGATTTTATAAAATTGCTTTTATTTATTAACAAGTTCAGAATTATCTATTAGAATTTCAGTTTTAGAAATATTTAAGAGTTATTTGAGTAAGAATATTCAATCTGTTTATATAAAATAAAATTATTTACCATAAATGATTTAATTAATGAAAGTTAATGAAGAAACTTCAGTTAAAGCAGCAATATAATTATTTGAATAATATTTATTATGTATATAGATAGATGAATATACATAATAAATTCTTAATAATTAACCATTAAATATGATTGATGAATAATATGATAGTAATTTTTGTGAATTTAAAGTGTTGTTTGAAAATGAGAATGCAGATTAAAATGTATTTAATTTACTTTTTGATATTTAATTAACTAAAAGAATTAAGGGTGTATAATTAATATAAAAAAGATTATTACAATTACCAATTTTATTGATTGAATCAGTTTCTAAAATAATGTTACCTCTTTTAGATTTCTATATATTTTATGCTGGAGGTGAATTAAATAATCATAAACATAAATTAACTGATGCAAATAAATCACATTATTTAACATTATAAGATGTCTCTATTTAAATGTATGGTTATATTTGTAGTCATTTTGATTTTGATAGAAGAATAAGTCTTATGTAATAATTAACTAAAAAATTAGAAAAAAGCATGATAGGAAATAAATAATAATTATCTAATGCTATTATAAAAACTATTACTGTAATTGCTTCTAATAAGGATGACAATTTTAATGTAATAAAATTAATAAAAGAAAGATTATAAATGAATTCAGAATCTAAATTATAGGATTATTTATAATAATATATAAGTATTGAAGAAGAATAATAAAATACATAAATTATTGATTTTGAATTCAGTTATAGAAGTTTAATATAATAAGAGAAAGAATTAGCAAAAGTAAGAGAAATCAAAGATGTTTCTAATCAATTTTGGAATAAAATTATAGATATTACAGTTGATGAAATTCAAGAATGGTAAGAAAGATCAAATATATTATTAAAATAAATATATTTACCATTAAAAAATCTATTTTTATTAGATGAAAAACATAGAGTTTAATTATCAATATCATTAACTGAATTAATTATTTAATTACCACCTGAAAACTTTATGATTGAATTAAATAGACTAGTAGGCAAATTATGTAGATTATTAAAGAGTAAAGATAATGATGTAAGAGATGAAACTAGAAAATGTTTATTAGATTTAAGTAGAAAGATTGGACCAATATTTTTAAAATTCATTATTATTTAAATGAAATCTATACTTATTTAAGGATTTGAAAATCATGTTTTATCTTATACATTAGGTTTATTATTAGAATAAATTACAGAAATTGGACAAATTGATAATTGTTTAGAAGAAATCATGGAAATATTATTAGATGAAGTATTTGGAAGATTATGTACAGAAAAAGATACTGAAACATTACCTAAAAAGACTAAAGAACTTAAAAGTAAAAAAGGAATGTAGAATTTTAAAATTGTTGGATAATTAATTAATTTTGTTAATTCATTACCTAAATTAATTGGTACTATAGATTATTATATAACTCAATATTAAATATCTCATAATTTATAAAGTAAACTTAGACTTATATTTGAACATCTATATTTAGGATTGATTAATAATTCATCAGTCTAGAATTTAGTTTAAGTAATCTATTTAATGATTTGTGAAACTAGTTATAAATTAGCAGATTCATTAAAATAAACTCATAATTTAGATTTTACATATGCTCAAGGAACATATAAACGAATAACTAAAGAAGATATTATGTCTATATAATTACCATCTTATGGATCATAATCTATTTCTACATATATTAAATAAAATAAATTGAAAACCTCAAGTACTATTATTTATGGTCTTGTTAATTTTATAAGTATTAAACTTCTTCATCACAATATATAAAATGTAGAAGATTCTCCTCTTTTATAAAAGATGTTTTCAATTATATTAGATTGTCTAAATCATAAAGATATGATAACTGAATGTGTGTCAGTCATTTCAGCAATGATTAAAAAGTTTGATTGGGTTATTTAATTTAAAAAATAAATTGTTTAAAATGCTATGTAATGTTTAGCTACTATAACATCAACAGATGAATAATTTATTAGAGATTCATTTCTCTTATTAAAAGCTATTTTAGATAGTAAACTAAATGAATTTACTTTATAATAATAAAAAACATTAGTTCATTTTATAGATCTCTATTTAGAATCTAATGAAGCATTAGAATGCTTAAAATTAATTATTCATGAAATTTGGCCATTGCCATAAATATATGATATCATTATGAAAGTTAGAGAATCTATGTTACAAACAACCAAAAAAACCTAACATTTATGTTAATAAATCTATATTAATTTTTTAATCAAATATCCATTATCAAGTTAAGTTTTATAATAACATTATGACTTTATAATTGCAAATCTTTAATATAAATATTTTGGTGGAAGATAAATTATACTCTAATGTTTATAATAAATATTCTAATTCTTCCCTTAAGATACAGTTAATAAATTATCTGAAATTTCATATTTCTCTATGATTGTGGCATTGGTCAAAGAAGATGTAGATACTCTAAAAGAATAACTTATTAATGTGTTAAATATATTAATTTAGAAAACTACTTAAGATAAAATTATGAAATTTACATAAAATTCATTGATTTGGATGACAAATGATAAATTAAAGGTATAATTATCAGGATTAGAAAGTTTATATATTTTAAAAGATCATTTGAAGTATTATTAATCAAAATTTATATTATCATCAAATGAATTAATTGATAAATGTATTACTAATTGGAATGAATGGAAAAATACTATATAAGCTAAAAATATTTAAAACAAAAATTTAAAAAATAGTTAATGGGCTAATGAATTAGAAGCTATTACAGTATCAGAATATCCAGAGTTATAAGAATCACTTCATTCATTATTAAAACTTTTAAATGCAATTGATGAAAATTAATTAATATTAATTTATGAATAAAATACTATTTGTAAATTATTCAAATGTGTATCATATCCACATTAAGAAACTGCTAATCAAGCTATTTAATTATTTATAAGATCTAAGCATTTATCTATTATTCATACTCAAATTTAAATTTAATAAGATCACATTATTAAAAATATGTAAAATATAACTAAATATCTATTTTTAATAAAATTTGCAAGAAATTAAATAATTATTAATTAAGAATTAACATTCTAATTTATTTTAGATTATTTAAATTTATTAAAATAATTAGACTAATAATCTATAATCTAATTAATCTTTGATTGTTTATTAAAAGTTACAACAAATTTGATGGCAAAATAATTAAAATTTAATCAAGGAATTGAAAATTTAATGGAATTTTATTAATATATAATGAATAATGGATATGAAAGTAATCAAAAAATGATAGAAAGCATATTGAAAATCCAATCATTATAATAAGATTTACCAATAATAGATTAAGTACTATATTATAATTATTTAGATTTTAAAATTAATAGAGAAATAACTAGGGCCTTAAGAATTCATATCTAAATATTCTGCTATTTAACAAGAGCTAAATAAAGTGAAAGGGGAAAAGAAAATATAAACTAAGATGTTAGCCATTAAAGATCCTTAAAAGTTTTAAGAAAAAAGATAAAGAAAAATGAAAACCAAAGTGATGTAGAAAAAGAATAAATTATTAAAGAAAAGAGGCAAAATTGCTAAGGAATGATAATGCATATGTATATAATATTTATATTATAAATATATCATTTACTTTCAAAGACACAGAATGCATTCTATCTAACAGTTTCAACTTTAACTTCTGGTCCTACCATAGTTCTAATATCTCTAATATCATAATAAATCATAGTTGGTCTTTCCAACCCCAATCCCCATGCAATTACATTCACATCTTCTGGAATTCCAAGAGGTGCCAACATTTCAGGTCTAAATACACCAGAATTACCTATTTCTACTTTCTTTTTCAAAACAGGATGATATCCTATAATATTATATATATATATATATTACCATAAATTTCCATACTAGGTTCAGTATAAGGATTATATGTAGGTTTAAACCACAATTTATTAATTCCAATTTATCTAAAGAATTCTCTAATAATTCCCATTAATTATCCTAATGAAGCATTCTTGTCGATGACAATGCCTTCAATCTGATGGAATTCAGCCAAATGAGTAGCATCTAAAGTTTCATTTCTAAACACTTTATCAATGCTAAAATATTTTTTAGGAAAGTATCCTTTTTCTTTATATAATTATGCTATTCTATATAACATTTTAGATGAGACAGCTGTTGTATGTGTTCTTAATATATTTTTTCTGGCTTCTTCATTTGACCATTCATATTGATATCCAATACTACCTACACCTCCTGTCTAATGCATAGACTTTACTTTATCTCTAAGATTTGGATCAACTTCTTCACTTAATTCTGGATCACTGCAAAAGAAAGTATCATGAGCATCTCTTGCTGGATGTTTTTATGGTTAAAATAGAGCATCAAAATTCCAGAAAGAAGATTCTACAAATTGATTTGTTGGCATTTCTTCAAATCCTAATCCAATCAATATTTATGAAAACTATTTCCTTACTTTCAATAAAGGATGCAAATTACCCATAGAAACTATTATTATAAAATAAGAATTATTACTCTTTTCACCTTCTGCATTTAAATTAATGCTTTTATAATCACACTCTTTCCATTCTCCATTTAATAATTACTCTGTAGTTAAAGCTGCATATTATTCTCTAAATTTATTAGCATATTTAATGCCTTTTTTGATTTCAAAATATTTAATAGTTGAAATCATAGCAAGTTTTCTTTCAATTAATAATTTTGCTTATTGTGAGCCTAATTTGATAGTGTTTAATTATGATAATTCCAATTTAATTTTATCAGGTAAATCATTGGCAACTTTACTTATAAGACCTTTATCCATTTTGATATAACCCATTTTTTTAGCATTACCAAAACCTAAATCAAATTATTTCTTTTTTGGATCGTCAATTTATTTTTCTTTCTTTTCTCCTTATTCTTATTTCACTTTTTGAACTTATTCAATACAAAATAACTTTTATAAATCTAGCATTGATATTCCTTCTTATGGTATTTTCTAATAAATTTCATATTCTCCTGATTAAGAATTTAATATTGTATTTCCTTCATTAGTTAAGATTAATTAATCCTATTTTTATCCCTATTTATAATTAAGATTCTATGTACTTCTGTCTTAATATAATTAGCAGATTCTAATTGCAAAAGACATCCAACTAGATCTTAATGATTAATAGATAAAGATTTAGCTATTTCCAAAGAGTTTAAGGTTTCTATTGACTCTAATTGAGTCAAAATGATATTTGCATAATCTTGCTTTTAATCCATAAATATATTAATTTATATAAAAAATCTCATACATTTGGACCAAATGATTTTCCTTTAAAGTATCCTGTTAACATGTAAATTTGAGAAATGCATATGATAATTAAAGCTCCCATTTTACCTGCTGAACACCACCATAATTTCTTTTCTGTTGATTCTAACATTCTTTAATGTTCATTTTCTCTATCATTTTAATAATGTTAATTATTTTATATTGTTTTTAAACTTCTATATGCTTATTTCATCTCTTCAGCCATTTAATCCATAGTTTCTATTTATATAAAGATAATAATATACCTGCTAATGCTAAATCATTTTCTTCTACAAAATCAAAATTAAAACTAATCAATTTATAATATTTATCTAATGATTTGAAACATACTTCATATTATCCATCATCTGTCATTATTTCTTTATAATTGCCTTCCTTTTATTTTATACTAGATTTCAAAAGAGTTTTTCTTGGAGAATAGAACTAAATGTAAATAATGTAATTATACTTTCATTTCAATATTGTCTTCCTAGAAACCAGAAACAACAAAAGAGATTTAAAATAATGCTGTTTTCTTTCCTTAGACTCCTAAACACAATTCTTTACCACCATCTAATCCAGTTGAAAGTGCTTAAATGGTTGAAAGTAAGAGAAGAATAAACATTAATTAAATAAATTAATACAACGTGTTATTTTTTGATTAATAATTATTTTGAATTCTGTTTGTAACTTCAATTGTCTTAGAATTCCATAATTTTTATTCTCTTTGAATATTTACTTATTCTTCAGATATTTATTCAATAATTAAATACCCCTTAAATGATAATTTTATATAAATGATTCTTAAACAATGTAGTTCGAGAGAAGGATTTGATTCATCAAATGATATTGATCAATATGATTAAGAACAATCTATAAAAAAATCCAAAACTGTCTAAAATAATGAAGAATGTAATCAAACTTTTGAAAAAAAACCCATTATTTAAGAATCTAAAAAATAATGTCGTATATTGAATTTAAATGTTCCAAAAGCAATCATAAACAATAAAACAATTTACTTAAGCTAACCATTTTATAGTACTAAATAAATTCATATGTTAATAAAAAATACTGAAGAACAATAAGATTTTGAAATTTAAACACCATAAATTTGCAGACCTTTTGTTGGAATGATAAAATCAGGAATAATATTTGATTCTAACTTTGAATCTGGTAATCTCGATCGAGTTGATTAAGTAATTAATTCAACTATATTGTTAGATTTCAAATGATGAATATAATTTATATATGAGAATTGATACTAATTCTATAGGTCATAGTAATTGGTTTTATTTTAAAATAACATAAAATGAATAAAGAAAAGTGAAATTCAATATTTGCAATTTTACAAAACCTCAAAGTTTATATATAAAAGGAATGAAACCTTATGTATTATCAAAAAAGAGTAAAAATAAATATTTCACTCAATAAGGTGAAAACATTAAATATTAATAATAAGGTTAATACTTTATACTCTCATTTATATATTATTTTGAATATGAAAATGATGAAGTCTTTTTTGCAACATTACCACCTTATACTTACACTTAATTAATTAATAAAATAAAAAAATGGAATAAATCATCTAAATAATATTTCACAAAATTAAAAATATCAAATACTTTATCTGGTTTAGTGTTGCCACTAATTATAATAACTGATAAATCAATAGATAAAAATAAAAAAATTATTATTTTAACAGCTAGAGTACATCCATCTGAAACTTGCAGTTCTTATATGATTTAAGGTTTTATCTCATTTTTATTAGGTGAATCTTTCATGGCCTAATATCTACGAAAAAAGTATATAATATGATTAATATTAATAGCATTATATTTAAGATAATACCAATGTTAAATCCAGATGGAGTTATAGTAGGAAATTATAGAAATGGTTTAAGTGGAGTAGATCTTAATAGATAATTTTAAGAAACAGATTTAACATTATTACCAGAAGTAAAAGCATTGAAATGTTTAATTGAAGATAATCAATAAAAATTAATTGGTTATTTTGATTTTCATGGTCATTAGGTTAGAAAGAATATATTTATGTATGGTCCTACACTTAGTTCTGAAACAAAAATAGTTCCATTAATTTTATAATAAAGATTAGATTCATTTCGATTTAGATCATGTGAATTTGGAATACCAAAATTTAAATTAGGAACAGCTAGAGCATATGCCAATTAATTTATTGAATCTATTTGTTATACTATAGAAGCATCATTTTGTGGTTATTAGAAGGGAAAGAATGTGAGATTCATTAGTAGTGATTGGGTACAAAGTGGATTCTGTATAGCTGAAACATTATTTCTATATTTGAACATGAAACAATAACATTAAAAATAATTAAGTAAAGCTAAAGATATGAATTATAGAATCAAATTAATTGTTAAAGAAAATAAATGAAATGTCATTGAAAGTAGAATAAACAGAAGTAAAACATGATTCTGATGATGAGATTAATAGTTAATCTGATGCAGAGATATTTGAAGATTATGATAAAGAGAAATTAAATGAACTTTAGAATTAAATGAAAAAGGAATTAAGCCATTAAAATTTGATTGAATAAGGAGATAATATATTGAAACATATGAAAGTTTAAAGTGTTTCAAGGAAAATTAAGGTTACTCCCTTATATTTATTAACAAAAAAGTAATTAAATAATATTAATTAGAGATTAACCACGTCCATCATTGTATCCTGATTTAAGTATTCAAAATTGGGAATTTAGATCTAAGAATGCACATAGTAATAGTAATGAAAGCAGAAATTTGATTTAAAAAAGAGGGAGAACTAATAGCAAATTATTATAATCATTCAGATTTGAAAACAAACAGAGAGCCTCATCTCATTTAGATGGTTCTCCATTTAATTAGACAATTGAAAAAATCAACATTACTTAAATAATTCCTAAGAAAACAATATACAATTTTCCAATTTTAGATAATTTATAATAAAGTGTAGGAGCACCTTTACCATTCATCAGAAAACTGTTAAATGGAAAAAATAAAAAACTGCCAGGATGATTAATAATTATTTATTTATGATAAATTTAATAACAATGATAATCATTTACCTTTGACAGGTAAAAAATATGGATGATCCATTGCATCTTTTGGTGTGATTCTAAGGGCCTGAAATAAAAGAATAGTTTTACATGATCATAAACAAGCATTCTTGAGAGTATATCAATAGCCTCATCACTACATAAATGTTTATTTTCTGCATTAATAAATTTAACCCATTCTTTCTTTGGATAACTAATATATTAGATATAATTAATTTACTTTCCTAATTTAGATTCTAATACAGGATCTAATCTAATTCTATATTTCTTAATATAAGCTTATAATTCTTCAGTTCCTAAAACTTTAGAAATCACAACTAATTAGTCATAATTATCTTATCCTTAAAAAAATGGTTCTTTTTTAAAGATCTAAGATTATGTTAATTAGATACCATAGATGCCATCATTGCTCCAGTACTCCATATATCCAATGAATAATCATAATATACATTATCAACTAATAATTCTGGTCCTTTAAAATAACGTGAAGCTACTCTAACATTATAATCTTATCCTGGATGATAATATTCAGCCAAACCAAAATCAAGTAATTTTAACAATTTTTTTTTTGGATCCACAATTATATTTTATGGTTTTACATCTCTATGCATTATACCTTTTGAATGACAATAATCTAAGGCTTTAATTAATTCGAAAAGATAGAATCTTATTTCAATATCAGTTAATTTAGGGAACAAACTTCTAAAATCAACATGATCAATGTAATCAAAAATCAAACATGGTGTTTTAGATGATGGATCTCTAACAATGTCTGACAATTCTATAACATTTGGATGACCTCTAATTGTGAGTAATATTTTAGTTTCTCTTTTTATTTTCTATTTCTTCACTGGTTTCAACACTTTTATTACTACTCTTGTCCCTTATGGATATTTGATTCCTTCATATACATCTGAATATTTCCCTCTTCCTATCTTCCTTATCACTTCATATTAATCACTATCCTATAAATATTAATTATTTTGTTTATACTCCCCATTCATTCTCAAAATTATCATAATCCCAATATTCCTTTGGTTGACTCTTATTGAAATTTGCATAATACTTTGGAGGTATTTACAAAATTTAATTCATATTATTAATGCAACAAATATAAATACAAACTGCCACTCAAGACAAAGCTGCATACAATAGAAATGCATAAAAAATCATTGATAAACTAAAAGCTAATGATCTTGAATTAATTGATGCTACCCTTGAATATGCTCTCCAAATTTTTAATTCAAATGAACCACCCTTAAGGAAATTATTAATCTTGAGAGTATTATCAATCATATCTTAGCTTATTAAAGATGCCATTGTCATCAAATCTTCCAAATTTATTAACAAATACATTTAAACTAGACCCTTGTTGACATTCATAGGAAATATCTGTACTCATAAATTAGGCGATTCTAATCCAAATAGAGGTGCTGATCTATTTTAAGGATAAGGTTCTATTTAATATTTATTTAGATCCCCAATCAAGTATTGAATTCTTAAACTTAACCCTTGAATTAGTTGAATTTCTTGCTACAACATTTCCCAAAGATTCAAAAGGAGCACCTACTAAATTCAAAATCTAATATGATGAATTAGTTTAAATGGGAGTATAGAATTCATTTTAAACTTTAGGTCAAATTTCGACCTTTATCCAGTCTCATTTAGCCATTTGATCCCAATAAGGCTTCCTAAGAACCTAAATCAAAACCACTATATAATAATAAAGAAAGGGATGAAACCATGCTAAAACTAAGTAACTACCATATCCTACTTAAGATTAAAGCAAATAAACCATTTACCAAGACATTGAGATGATTAATGAAACCCTGGTTAATGATTCTGATATGGCTTATATAAATGAAGTTCTAGTGACTTATAGTGAATCTATGAATGTCATGGAAAAAACATTTGAAAATCTCATTAATAAAGCTTAAAATTATGAAGGTGTTTTAAATGAAGATGAACTTGCAGAATTATATGCTCTTAAAGATTTCGTATAGAAATTCTAAAAATATTATTATGGTTTTCTTGAAAAGGAATGTACCTCTGGAGCGTATAATTCATTGAAAAAGAAAACATTAGCTCATATTTAGAAGATATTAAATAAAGATTTTGAAAATCCTCCTCCTTAATAGTAGAAATAATAAAAGTCACAAAAATTCTAGTAATCATAATTTTAAAATGAAGATGAGATGCTGAGAAGAGCTATAGAAGAATCAAAAATACAATAATAACATTCTTAAATATAATAGAAATAATTTGAAGAATAAAAAAAATAAGAAGAAATTAAGAGATAATAAGAGGAAGAATTAAGATAAGCTAAAATTAGAGAAGAGTAAATTAGAGTAGAAGAATAGAGAAGAGAAAATGAAAGAAAAGAGCATGAAAGATAAGAATAAGTTAAGTAAGAATAGTTAAGATAAGAAGAAAAAAAAAGGGAGCAATTAAAATTAGAATTATTAAAATAAGAATAAAATAAATTGGAAGTCTAATAATAATAACAATAGAAGTAAAAATAAAAAGAAATTGAGGATTATTGGAACAATTAATTTCAAAATCCTAATCAAGATAATTAATAATATATGACACAAATAAAATAAGGTTCATATATAAATCCATAATAGTAATAATAATAATAATAATAATAATAATAATAATAATAATAATAATAATAATAATAATAATAATAATAATAATAATAATATCTATAATCTTCATTTTAATAATAAAAGTAACATTAATAATTAAATAATACTGTTTAGAACTATATTAATTCTAATGTTGATTAATAATATCATTAAAAATAAACTATTAAATAAACTAATGATAATTAATTTGAATAAAATTACAATATTTCTGAAATTCCAAACTAAAATCATTTAAAAGGAAATAATAAAAGACAATAACTCCCTATGAATCACATAACCTCTAATATTGCAAAAAAAAAGGAATTTTAAGAAAATTTTGATGGATTAAGCTAATCTACTTTAACTTAATAATATTACCCTTTGAAAATGGATCAATAGATACCTCTTAAATAATATCTAGGAATGCATGTTAAATATGACAATTCCTAATTTGAGCTATTACATACATATGGCAAAACAGAATCATAAAAGAAGCGTTTTAAAATAGCTACTTTAAAGGGTAAAGCAGCATTAGTAAATTCCCCTTAACTTTAAGTAGGAATAAAGTAAGTATTACAATATGTTCCATTAAAAGAGAAAAACTATTTGAAGTTAATTTTATATATTGGAAATAAGACTCAATCAAATTTTGATAACTGTAGAATGCAATTTGAAGGAGATAATAAACGTAATTTAAAGTATGAATATTTTAAGAATTTTCGATGTGGCTTAAGCCAGATAGGATTGCTGATAAAATTGAAGCAGGTTAATAAGTTTAATAAGAAGTAATAGGAATTTTTAAATAGTTTGAAAATTATAGATTAGTAAATGTAATATTTTCTGGTAATAGATTAATATTTATTAATAGCTGAATGGGCTAACAAATAAATAACATCGAATTTCTTCTTAACAACAACATTAGTTTCATTTATGGATTTCAAAGATATAAGTTTATAAATATTTAGAACAAAATGGAGATTAAAGAAATAATAGGTTTTTAAAGGGGATACATTTTTGCTGAATCCCAAAATAGTAAAAACAGGAAACTATTTAAAAAAGTATTAAATTTATTTGAAATTAGAATATTTCCAAAGTTATGTGAATATAACTCTTATCAATAATTTTAAGATTAGTAATTAGAATACTTTAATGATAGATAATTAAAATACATTTCTTATAAACTTTGTAATAATAATAGGCATTAAGTTAGGTGGTATTTTTGAATTGACGAATGTGAATTAAAATTACATGATCAAGTTTATAGTTTTACCCAACATGCAATGTACAATATAAATTATTGGAAATAATGATCATTTATGTAAATAAATGTTAAATACACTTAATTGGATATTAGGTTTAGAATGATAAATGAATATGATTTAATATATTATTCTAATTTATCAATTCAAAGATGATTTAGATATTAAATTGTGTCTAAATTATAAACTATTAAAAATAATATTATAATAATAATATTTATATAGAATTAAGAAATAATTCATATATTATTAAAAAAGTATGATAAAAAAAAATAAACCAAACTTATTTATTTATAAGATATCAAGAGATAAAACCGAATTGTCGTTTAATGTAAATATATAATATCTCATTTTCTTATAATTCAGACAGGATTCAATAGATAGCTAGATAATTCTTTTTTATAAATTTGGATATCAGAATATAGTGATTAATCGAATTCTAACTAGTAAATTTATCGGACTCTAGAATTGTCAAGAGATTTATCAATAATTATTTGATTGGCATCTTTTAATTTTTAATTGAGGGATAATTTTTTATTGGATGTTGTTTTAGATTGATCTTCATGATAGCTCATTAATTTGTTAATTATGTATTATCTATTATAAAGTAATGGAGTTTGTAATAGATTATGTTCTTGAATGTGTTAAATTTATTTGGCAAATACAAATTGAAATCCTTCATTAGGTATTACGAAGCGATTGAAAATCCAAATAAGTGTTAGTGCTCCTTGAGAATAGGGAAGTAATGTCCAAAATTTGTTTCTTGCCCAATATTTAGGTTTAGGTAATAGTTTGAGGGATGCAAATAATAGTGTTGCTTGAAGAAAGGAGAGGTATAGTATTCCTTAATTGGCAAATTGAATAATGTAGAGCTTCTATAGGAAATTGTATGGAATTTTTGCTTGAATAAAGTAGTATGGGTTGTAAAGCATAATGTCAAAGAGACACTAATTGATATTAGATAACATATTTATATATTTCAAAGAAAATAATCAGGTACTCTTCTAGTTGTATGAGGTTCATTTTCTCGAGGGGCAGGCTCAAATTAAGTTCTAGAATGTATGAATTGAATTACTGATTCATTCTTAGTTGTTCATCAACTTCTACAATGCAAGCTTGATTACCACAACGATAACAATAATTCGGTGCAGAGAATATTGTAATAGTCTTTGAATTATGGATTTTCTGAATTCCTTCCATCACTAATTAATGTGCTCTGGCAATTTGTTTGAGTTTGTTGGAATGTAGGAATTTTTCTGTTATATCACATCCCCAAGTCCAACCTGCACCTCTTGGTGAAATACCCCAACCTGATGAGGTATTAAGAAATGAAAATACCATTTTTGGTTTCTTCAGGATCACTCCATAGAAGATCACACATTAAGCCCTCATGGGGAATATCTTAGACTCTATTCAATTATTTAATTTGATCAACTGATTCCATTGCTGGTGATAAACCTCCATGGGCACAAAAAATCTTTAATCGAATTAGAATTTATGTTACTTGTTATTCTACTATTGCTGAAAGTGGCAAATAGCCAAATACTTCTGTGAATTACTTCCATACTATTTCATTTCCATATTTACGAAAGCATTCATCATAAAAGCCATATACTTTATTGATTTCTCTGTTTTCATGATTTCCTGTAAGAATATTATGATTAATACCTCTTAATAATACAATGCGATCTTTATATCTGACTTTTAGTGAGAGCATTAATGAGAATGTTTCTACAGATTGTGAACCTCTATCTACATAATCTCCTAGAAATAGGTAATTTGTATCCTAGAACAGATTTGCAAAATGTAAATACTGGTAAGTTTCCTCCAATTTAAAAGAGTTCTATTAAATCATGAAATTGACCATGGATATCTCCACAAATCGTAAGAGGTGCTCTAACTTAGATGATATTAGGTTCATCTGACAAAATCTCTTTTGCCTAAGTAATTGCAAAATACTAAAACTTTAATGCATAAACTCTTGATTTCTGATTCTGTCAATATTTATCCTTGCTTTAATTTGGCAATCTATCTATCAACATTACCAATATCATTGCTACTTAATTTATTTAGTGAAGCCATTTAATATAATTATTTGAACAGAATATTAAAATAAGATATATATATAAATATACATTCAGAAATTATATTGAATACAAATGGATGTATAGAAACTCAATTTTATCCATCCATCATATATAGAATTGTCTTCTAATACTTATTATATAAAATGGAAATAATTGAATAAAATATCAAAGCTATACAACTCTCTAAAACAAAAAACATCATTAGAATTTCTATTAGATAACCTTATTAAATATTAAAGTCTTTTAAATCCAACTTATAATGAATTTAGTTATTTTCATTCCAATATGCTTGATAAGAAAATGAAAAAAATTTAACTTCAAAATATTGAATTTTTAGATTATCAAACTTATATAATGAAATTAACTCATTTTGGAAATTAAATCCTAATAAAAAAATGTAATAAGTAATCTTTACTTAATCTATTTATATTTATTTTTGATAAATTATAGAATACTCTCATTTATAAGGTTCACATTTGAAATTATACTTAGATTCAAATTGTTATTTAATACTTTTTAATAGATGTATTAATGGTAGAAAACTCAGAATTTTGGTTGAATTCTAATTTCTTGAAAGAATTGATCTAATTATCTGGTAGCCTAAACACTGTGAACTAGCGAGTTTCAACTTAATTAATATATATTATATTCTATCAAAAGAGACATATTATTTCAAAATAAATACGCATTCAAATATAATACTTTTTTTTTTTTAAATCATCAAAAAAGAATGACTGAAAAAAACATCGATCATTATTCATTCCATACCTCAGATGTACTTGGTGTTGGATCTTTTGGCACTGTTTTCCAAGGCATTGATTTAAAAAACAATCGTTATGTAGCCCTAAAAATGATAGCTAAGGATAATTTGCTTAATGATCCAAAAGGTAAAAGTGGACTTATGACTGAAATCAAAATAATGAAAAAGTTAAATCATAAAAATATAGTTCAACTTATCGATGTGTTAGAGACACAAAATAATTTCTATATCATTCAAGAATTATGCGAGAATGGAGATTTATCCAAGTCTATTTCATTTTTATCCTAGATTTTTGAAGAAGAATAGATAGGTTGATGAAAAAATGGCATTAAATATCATCATTAATGTTCTCGAAGGTTTTTATGAGTTATTAAAGTACAGGATTATTCATAGAGATCTAAAACCTGCAAATATTTTAATACATAACAATACTTATAAACTTGCTGGTCTTTTTATTTTTCTATATTTTATAGATTTTGGTTTCGCTAAAATTGTGGATAACTTTAATCCCAATGTATTACACTCTTAAGTAGGCACACCTTTGTATATGAGTCCATAAATATTAAGAAATGAATAATACTCTATGAAATGTGATATTTGGTCTTTAGGATTTCTATTCTATGAAATGCTTTATGGATAATGTATTAATATTCTTATTAATTTCTTAGCTCCTTGGACAGCATAATCAATTCCTTAATTAGTTAAAAATATTTATACTTAACCTCTTGTATTCCATGATTCAATTAATCAAGTATCTGATAATGTAAAAGACTTTATTACTAAATGTTTGATAATTTAAGAAGGTTAAGAATTTAATATTTTTAGATGAAAGATTGAGTTGGCAAGATGTATATCATCATCCAGTTTTTGCTTAGTATTTCGTTTAGGATCCTAAAGTAGAAAATTTATTCGAAGTATATAATTAATGAATGATAGGAAAAAGAATTATCTATAGCAATGAGTATGAGAGAATAATTCGGAACTTAATAACTTAGTATTAATGAATTACTAAGAGAATTGGCTGAAGATGAAAATAGAATACTTAATATTGAAGGCTTTAGTGAGATCTTTTTAGCCATAAATGAAAATTTAGAGGATGAAGAGATTTAATATATATTTAATTGTATTGATGAAGAGTCAAATGGATAAATAACATGCAAAAATCTATTAGATTGGCTTAATAAATATGATGTTATAAATTTATATATTATAGATTTCTTTGGAAGATACATATATGAGAAGTGGTTCAAATACTGTATATGGAGCTCCTGAAAAAAGATAAATATAATAAGGTTTATAATAGAATGAACTAAATTAAGATAGATAACTGATTTAAATACTTTATGATGAAATAAAGACAAATAATTTAAATTTAGTTGAATTGTTTCATAAATTTGCAACATCTTCAGATTTAATGAACTATCAAGATTTTACTAATATGATGCTGTATTAATTAAACCTATTTTTAGAAATTATGATACTACATTAAGTGATTGGGAAATCTTTGAAACTTTTAAATTATTTGCATAAAACAAAAGTGACAATATAAACTTAAATCAATTTAAGCAAGTATTAGAATAAAACTTTTAAGATGATTATTTCTGATTATATAATTATTTATGTTTGTGTGTTTGAATTGTCTATAGTTATAAGACTGAATGTTATTTATAAAATTATTATATATTAAATGGATAATAAGAGTAAAGGAAGTTCAAAAAGCAGAAAAGAATTGGGAGGTATTGTTGAATATTCAATTATAGATGAGTTGAGTTTGAAAGGAGTGTCATTATTTAAACTGGATGTTAATTATGATCATTTGAAACAATTTTTAGAAGGAGTTTAAGCTGATCTTGATAATCATACAGTGGAGATAGAAGGAATAAAGAAATTGCTTGGACCTAGCGAAATTATATTATTAGTTAAAGTTCAATCTAATTTAGGTTCAAGAATAGTTTCAATTATTAAGTGATTCATTACATTTTTCAGATAAGGATATAGAAAAAGAATTATCAACTTAATTAAGCACATACATTACATAAATCTAAGGAAAGTAAAAGTATGGAAAAGGAGCTTTAGAGAAAATTATTACTGAAATGAGAGGAAAATTATTTTCAGTTATCTCAATGATTTAACATCTTTATAGAGAGAAGAAGGTAGTTATTAATATTAATAGTAGAGATAAGATTAACGATTAACAAAATTAGAAAATGATATGTTAACAAAGTTTGATACTAAAGAATGTAAAGAGAAAATGAGAAAATAAAAAAATCAATTAGAATAGTAGATTGAAGATTTACAAAAGAATAATAGACATGAATTAGATACTGTTGAAAAGAAATTATCAACTGATATATAGAAATTTGAAGAGGCAGTTAGAGATGTAGAAAGGTATATTAATTGAGTTTAAATATAAGAAAAACTTTATGGAAAATACATGATTGTTAAGATTTATTATCAAAAAGAACAAATGAAGAATTTGTTAATGAGGCTATTAGAACTAGTGAAGATAAATTATTAAAAGAAGTATATTGAATTATATAATATTAGATTTAATAAATGTAAAATAATGATTAATTAATTAAATTTCAATAAGATATTGCATATATTAGAAGTTAAATCAAAGGAATTGATGACACAGTTGGAGAAAAACAATCAAAATTAAAAATATAATTAAATGAAATGAATGATTTGTAAATTTTTATTAATATTTTTAGATTGAAGTCTAAAATAAATTTAATTGATAAATTAGTGGAATAAAATAAACAATAAGGAGATAAAATAATAGATTTAAATAGTAGATTAGCTACTGCTATAAATAAATTGGATGTTTCAAATCAATTAGATTAACATAGATAAAAAATTAAATAATTAGAAGATGGAATTTAAAGATTAAATGATGAAGCTAAAGAAAGAGTTGAAGCTTTAAAGGATATGAATTTAAATGCTGAAAATGTAGCCTATTTATTATCTAAAATTGATCCTCATAAAATTTGTACTCTTGAAGGAGATATCAAAAAATTAGAAGAAATGTCTATTAGAAATAATGTACATTGGGAAACTCTTGATGCAGAATTCAAATCACGTTATGATAGTTTCCAATTCTTTTCATAATTATATTAATAATAATAACAATAATAATAATAATCAACACCAGAAGAATCTAAATATGTTACTAAAGATGAAATTAATAGAATGTTTGAATAATTTTAATAGTAGGGAAATTTAGAAGATGATAAAATTAGAAAAATACAAAAAGATCTTTAAGACATAGGCCATAAAGTTGAAAGTGCAAATGAAATAGAAAGAAGAGTGAATAGAATATTTAGAGATGTTGATATCAATGGATTAATGAAATAAGTAAAAACCAAGGCCAATGAAGATGATATGAAGAGAGAATTATTTAATTTAGAAACTAGATTAGGATAAGCTATGGAAACTATCAATTATTTAAGAAGAGAAATAGATGCCTTATAAGGTAATTTATTATATTTAATGAATAGTACAATTAAAAAAATCACCTATGAATTTCTAATAATCAGCTTCACCTCCTACTGATTAAATTATTGGAATCAATACAAAGAAACTCTATCCCATTAATTGTCTTAGTTGTAGCACTACCAATTAATAAAGAGTAATGTTTTTTTATATCTTAGGTGAAAGGAACTGATGGAAAATATTACTAGGCTGATATGAAAAGATAAACTATTGATTAATAATAGTTTTATGATCTCTAATAAGACGAATCTTAATAATTTAATTAATAACATTATGTATAAAGACCATAATCGGCAGTAGTAAATAAATAAAGTAATGGTGCTAAAAGACCTATAAGTGCTAAGAAATGATTAAATAAGTATATTTTATAAATATAAAAAAATATGCCACTAAAAAAAAAATATGTTGACGGCGAGGTTCGAACTCGCGCCCTTTCGGACTGGAGCCTTAATCCAGCGCCTTAGACCACTCGGCCACGTCAACTTGTAATGATAATTAATAAATGGTTTTGCATTTAATCGATATAATCATTTTGCTGATTTGAAAATTGTAAATCGTTTTTACTCTATTGTTGCATCTAAATACATATGATCAAAGTTAAATAATCTTGATCCGTAATTGGCGTCTTTGTCTGTTACAAAACAACACCACCATCCTCCATATTTTTGACACAAAACATTGGCAATTTGATTGCAGACCTCCCCCAAAAATTGCTTATGCACTTAAATCGCATTTTTAACAATTGTGACTATTTCATTCTAAATTTATTCTGTAATTCCTGTTCCCTTTTCATTAATTTTAACCGATTTATCCATATAAGTAATTAATATATTATTAAAATATTATTATTATTGTAACCCCATCAGATATCCTTTATATCCATCTACTAATTCTCATATGAGTATTATTTATATCTAATTGTAAATAATATTTGATTCATTCCTTTCATAATTTTTAGGGTATCTTCTTATCATTTTAATCATACATTCATAATAATTAATAGATATAATTTTCAATTTTTATCTAGTATTAAACTTCAAAATCATATGTTATTTAAATTTATTTCATATTCTATATTAAAATAGTATTCATTTTCTTATAATTTAAGTATATTCATTTATTATACATTTAAATTAAATTAATGTCTAATTTTTTACTTAAACATTATATTTTAGATTCTTTTATCTTTAAATTAATAACAACATTGCTTCAAAATATTGTCTAATTTTATATTGTGTTAATTATAATTCATTATTGTATTAATTATATTTACTTATTAGATAAATTTATTATTTAAAATACTGTTTAATATATGTAAAACAATATAATTGTATTTACTTAATAGATAATAATAATTATTTATTAAATTACTAAAGAATTTTAAGAATATAAATGATCTTAATAATATAATTAAATATCAAAATTGTTCAATTTTACTCTTATTTTTTTGTTCTTCTTCTGAATCATCCTCTATTGCTGTCTCATATAATTATTCTATTTTCAATTATTTTTATGTAATTTTGATTCCCCATTTATCATTATCTAATTATACTTACTTAAGTGAGCCACTCCATCCTATTTTATCAAATTTAATCATTCCTTGAAAATCAGAAAATTCTTTGTTTCCAAAAAGTTAGGTGATTGTAATGTAAAAGTCACAAAATTGCATTAAATCTGTTCTTCTTTCAGGAAGTGTAATTATACATAATAAATATGATGATCGAATGAGTACTTTCAAAGAATATAAAAATTGATTGAGTTCTTATTGATTATAAGGAATCTTATCCCAAAAATCATGAATAATTAATTTTTTCATAGTAGAATCTGTGCTTGATTTTAATGATTTTTAGTATTATTTAGTAATAATTTGCAAGAATTATTATAAGTTATTTATTTCATCATAATTATTTAGTTTTAAATGATTTTCAACAGCTTGTTCAGTTTCTGATTTTGATAAATCCAAATAAAATATAGAGGAATCAATATTCTTAATAGTGAATTGCTATTACATTTGATTGTATCGCCAAGCGATCTTATGTTATAATTCTTTTTCTTCTTATTATTATGAACTTTCAACTTATTTTTTAGGAATAATTTTAGACCATTGTTCAGAAAATTGATCAAAAATAATAGAAACATGATTTTTATGAAATGAATTACCAATACAATATCTCAAGAATTATTTATAGATAGTTGTTGGTGTGTCTTACTCAATGAAAATGATTTGCCCTTTTAAAAGACTATTGCCTAATAAAGCATCCAATTCTGGATGTCCAAAATAGGCTTTGTAAGGATCTTCCTTTTTAGAATTATCATTTCTTTTAAAATTACTCATTAAATAATATATATATAATTTTCGCATTTTATTAAAGTTTGTCTGTAACATATTTTCTTTAATATTCTAATATTATTATTTCCACTTCTTTTACTCAAATTCTAAAAATATTAAATATTAGTATTAGAAACCTCAAAATTAGTTTCAAAAAATAAAAGTATGTTACATAAAAATTGTTTTTATTTTTACACTCAAAAAATTTCATTCATTCATTATTTGATTGTATTTGTTCTATTAAATGGAATATATTATGGATATTCAAATACTCCTATACGAGTTTCTTTAATTCTTTATTGATGCATACTACCAAGAATAATCCAATTAAAAGGATAATTATTATATACCATTTTTTTGTGAATTTATTAATTCTTATTATTAATTTTATATTGATATATCTTTATGTATTTTGATTGAAATTTTACACATTATAAAACATTGAAACAATTTAATATAAAAATATTTTATAGCTTAGAATTTATTAAATAAATCTAGAATTTAAAAATTTTTTATAAGCAAATTATAAAATTCTAATTAATAAAATTTCAAGAAAATTAATTGAAAGCATATAAAAGATTGACATATTTGCTTATTTTATATGCGTTTAACAGATTTAAAAGAATAGGTAATATATAACGTAATTTTTACTTAAATGATTCTCTAAAGTACAAGCAGAATAAATAATAATTTTAATTAAAAATATTTTGATATATTAATAAACAATTTGTGTAAGTTTTTGAATTTAAACTTACAAATTTATCAATTATTAGTATTTTGCTTGTTGATAGAATTAATATTTTATAATTGAGATGAATAAAAAAGAAGAGATAATTTATTATAAAAACTGAACTATTTAGGATTTATCTAAAATAAATAGAATATTTTAGGGGATGATTTTTTGGTCGGTAAATGGGATTATTAATAGAATCAAGATTTAATATATCATTAATATTTTTATTATTAATTATAGATTGATATGTAGAAATAAGAGCAATCCCAATTGTCAACACTACAAAGTTTTGGAGATATTTCACCAGTGCCTGAAGAAGATGACACTGAGATTAAGACTATTTTTACATCTCCATTAACAACAAAGAATTCACAAAGAGCCTACTCATTTTAATTTTCATAAAAAATAAGAAAAACACCATAAGTTCTAGAATTAACTGAGAAGCTATATTCTTGGAATTCTTATTTAACTAAAAAGTTTGCTGAAAGTCCAACAAAATTTTGAATGAGATTTCTGAATTTTGAGTATGTACTTTACTAAATTAATAATTATATATGGCATTTTGACTTATTTTTATAGGGATTTCTGTTTTTTAAATATATAAACTGGACATCACCTGTCCTATTTTAATAATACTTTAGGATTTGACCATGAAGAACAATTAGAAAATTATGTCATTATTAAATAAATGATATTGTTGGCTCAACTTTTGAATAATTGATATAAGTAAATTTTATGATCTAAGAAATTAAGGAAGGATGTTAAATGAATGATATTTAATAATTACATGATTTAAACAATAGTCAGATTAAAAAAAATGAAATTTAAATCTAGACCAAAGTGAATATACATATTTTGAAGATTATTATCCAATATATAACAGTATAGGAAATATGAGAAGATTAGATAATAAAATAGATGAAAATAAGGAGATTTATAAGTTTTAAAAATGGAGATGGACATTAATAAATGGAGATTGAGATGATAAGATTTTTAGAGGAGAATAAAATTAACAGTTTCGATTTAAAAATGGGATATTAGAAGAGGTTGAATGAAAAGAATAGAAGAACAAAATATTTAAAGATACTCATATTAATTATTATCATAAATTAATTAAATAATTTACTATAATAAATATAATTCTTTTTTAATATTTTAATGGAGTAAAAAGAGAAGAAGGGAAAAAAATAATAAGATTCTACAGTAGATAAATTAAAGTGTATTTCAGAAATAGTTGCAGAATTGATAAAATAGTATGATAACAATTAGAAAATAAATTTATCACAAATAAAATCAGAATTTTCAAAAAAGAATAAGATCTCAGGAGCACCTAAGATTGTAGAAATATTATCAGCAATTCCAGATGATTATAAAGATAAATTGATACCAATTTTGAAAGCAAAACCAGTGAGAACAGCATCTGGTATAGCTGTAGTAGCTGTAATGGCAAAACCACATAGATGTCCACATATAGCTGTTACAGGGAATATTTGTATTTATTGTCCAGGAGTATGAATATTTATAAAATTAATTAAGGGACCTGATAGTGATTTTGAATATTCTACTTAAAGTTATACAGGTTATGAACCTACAAGTATGAGAGCAATTAGAGCAAGATATAATCCATATATTTAAGCAAGAGATAGAATAGCTTAATTAAAATAATTAGGACATGATTGTGATAAGGTTGAATATATTATAATGGGTGGAACATTTATGTCTTTGGATTAAGAATATCGAGATTATTTTATTAGAAATTTACATGATGCTTTAAGTGGTCATCGTTCATAAACAGTTAAAGAATCAGTTCAATTCTCTGAAGAGAGTAGATCTAAGTGTATAGGTATTACAATAGAAACAAGACCTGATTTTTGTCAGAAAAGTCATTTAAGTGATATGTTATTATATGGATGTACTCGTATTGAAGTTGGTGTTCAATCAATCTATGAAGATAGTAATTATTATAATCTTATAATTAAGTTGCAAGAGATACTAATAGAGGACATACAGTTGAATCAGTCAAGAAATGTTTTGCAATGAGCAAAGATAGTGGATATAAAGTAGTAACACATATGATGCCTGATTTACCTAATATGGGAGTAGAAAGAGATTTAGAGAGTTTTAAAGAGTTTTTTGAAAATCCTGATTTTAGACCAGATGGATTGAAAGTATTTTAGTATTTAAAATTAGATATATCCAACTCTTGTTATTAGAGGTACTGGATTATATGAATTATGGAAAAATGGACAATATAGAAATTATCCTCCTGATTTCTTAGTTGATGTTGTTGCTAAAATACTTGCTTTAGTTCCACCTTGGACTAGAGTCTATAGAATTTAAAGAGATATTCCTATGCCTTTAGTTACATCAGGAGTTGATAATGGAAATTTGAGAGAATTATCATTATAAAGAATGAAAGATTTAAATGTTGCTTGTAGAGATGTTAGAACTAGAGAAGTTGGAATTAAAGAAGTTCATCATAAAATTAAACCAGAATAAGTTGAATTAATCAGAAGAGATTATACAGCTAATGATGGATGGGAAACATTTCTATCATATGAAGATCCTTCTTAAGATATTTTAATAGGATTACTGAGACTCAGAAGATTGGATAAACATACATTCAGAAAAGAATTAATTTAGGAACCTACCTCTATGGTTAGAGAATTGCATGTATATGGTTCAGTAGTACCAATACATTCAAGAGATCCTTCTAAATTTTAACATTAAGGATATGGTACATTACTTATGGAAGAAGCAGAAAAAATTGCAAGAGAAGAACATGGTAGTACTAAAATGGCAGTTATTGCAGGAATTGGAACAAGACATTATTATCGTAAATTAGGATATCATACTGAAGGAGTATATATGGTTAAGAAATTAGTATGAAGAAATATTTATTAAATTAAATTTTATCAATATTATTATCAATATTTGTTTATAAAATTTTAATATGAATTTTTATAATTTCTAAAACAATTAACTAGTTAAAAATCAATTGTATATAAAATAACAAAAGAGTAATAAGAATATTTATGTAGTAAATCTAATTATTAATAGATTAAGTTTTTTAATTAAAACTAACTATATCAATCTTGGACTAATTATCTGATTTATATTCGAATAATTATGAAATATACAATTTTTCATAAAGATAATAATTAATTCTTTTGTAATTAAAATTTTTAACATTTAATTTTGGAAAACAGTTTGCTTTTATTTAATAATATCATTTTATATCTCCTTAAAATGTATTTATTATTTTTATTGAATATAGGAGATGTTTATCAGAATTCTTAAAAAAGGAAATTATAAATGCTTTTTTTAGAAGAAATCTTTAAATTCTTCAATTCTACACATTATAATAAAGACCTTTTGGATTAGTTGGTTCTGACTATTAAATCATCTTTTCTAATACAAACATTATAAAAGCTAAAATTATAAATAAAAATTAGTTAATATTTTTATTAAAAATATAAGAAGAATTAATCAATAATAACAATAGATTTCCCATATAATATTTAATAAAAGAAGTAAAAAATAATAACCAAAAATAGAATATAAAAATCATAATATTGTTATACTATTATTCAAAAAATATCTTAGAAGTATTGTTAAAATTATAACAATACCACTTTTTAACCATTCATTCTTGTATTCACACAAAGATCTTATTGTTGTCCATTCACTCATAATTATTGACAAAGAAGCCATTTATTTATAAAATGGTTAATGACCCCAAATAACAAACATAATAATTGCTAATCTTCCAAATTAGGATAAAATCAAACCAATAATCATTTATTAGTGTTGTAATTTTCTAAATATAATTAATGATATTATATATATTGTAACAATTTATGACAATAATGTTAATGTTATATCTATTGTTTATTTCTAAACATCTTCAAAATTCAATTCCTATTCTTATTTGTGTAGTATATTTGATTAATATTTATAAAATAATTCTAAAAGTATATAAGTAATGAACAAAATAGTTGAGGCTGGTATCAGAGCATACTTAAATTTAAATATATTCAATACTTAACTATTTATTAGTAAATGTCGATAAGCACTTACTTTACATAGAATCATATCAACGAGGAGTATATTGTTTTCACAACTAAAATACCAATCTTAGTTTTCATGATTACAATGAGGACATTAGGTCATTGCATTTGGATTTTCTACTTTTGTATTACAATTTACACAATTCATAAATAATTAAATTTAATTATGAAGAATTAAGGAGTCTTTGATCCAACAGCTTTAGAAAGAGCAGCAATAGTATTTCTTATTAAACTATTAAAATAGGCCTTACGTGAATTAAATTAGTCTCCACATGCTGCTAAAGCCCTTGAAGCCATGATTAAGACTGAAGAGGCCAAAAAAGCAGATAAACAAGCATTGCAAAAATAACATGAAATTTCAAAGGTTAAAGTTGAAGGAGAAGAGAGAAGAAGAAATATGGATCATCAAAAATAAGTGAATTAATAGATAGCAGATTATAATGATAAATTGGAAAGAGAAAGAACTAAAGATAAATTGAAAGAGAAAGAATTGACTGCCTAAAGAATGAGAGAGGAGGCTGAAGAATCAATTAGAAGGTAAGAAAATATGAGGAGAGAAACATTAACATTGTAAATGAAAAAATAATTTGAATTAGAGGAAAAAAAAATAACTTTATAAGCTAAACTAAATGCTGAGAATTATAGAAAGAATTTTGATTTAATTATTTAAGAATAAGAAAAGAAATCTTAAATAGAAAAATAAGCTAAAATTGAATTACATAATCTTTATTTTGCTAAATTTTAAGAGGGATTTAAATACTTGTAATAAAATCCATAGGGTCTTTTTACAATTGCAAAAGTAATGTTGTTTGTAAGTGGAGCCTTTTTCTTCAGTAAATATAGTTTAGGACTTGGATTCAAACGTTTAGAAGCTATGCTTACAAAACCTACTTTAGTTAGAGAAACTTCTCGTCGTTCATTGAAATGGATGATGCCCAGTTCTAAACGAATATTTGATAAAATAATCTTAAATCCTGAGCTTGAACTCACACTCAAATTGATTACATCTGGATTTATTGCCAAATAGAGTTAGTCTGCTCCATTAAGAAATTTATTATTTCATGGTCAACCAGGAACAGGTAAGACTTTATTTGCCAAATTACTTGCTTATAATTCAGGACTACACTTTGCTATAATTTCAGGTGGAGATATTGAAAAATTGGGAGAATAGGCAGTTCCTGAGATTGATAAATTATTTTCTTGGTGTTAATCTACACCAAAAGGAACATTAATATTTATTGATGAAGCTGAGGCTATATTCTATAAAAGAAGTTCTTCAAAATAAACATCTGCTGCCTTATCAACATTTTTAGCTTAGACTTCTGCTGCTTCAAAGAAATATTCTTTAATATTAGCAACTAATTTACCAAATAAATTGGATGAAGCTATTTTAGATAGAATAGATTAAATTGTTAAATTTGATTATTTGAATGAAGAATAAAGAGTTAAATTATTAAAAAAAGGATTTGAGGATACTTTTTAAAAAAGTAACATGCTTTCTTTGATATTGAATCCAGCCAAAGCATTTTCAAAGAGATTCAAAGTTAATTTTAATCTTTCAGAAGATGAAATCTAATCTTTAGCAAAATAAATGGAAGACTTTTCTCCAAGATAGATTGATAAATTTATTATTTCATTATATGATGCAGCTTTAGGTTAGTGCATTATTGATAGACAAAACCAATATTGTGTTGATATAGGATTTGCTAATAATATATTACAAAGATCACTTTATGAGAATTCACTAAGATAATAATGGTCTACATAAATATGAGTTTCTTGTGTTATATATATATATTAATTTATCAAATATCTGAAATCTCTTTCATTTTACTAGGACTGACTTGTTTAGAATTCATCATTTAATAATATTTTTTGAAACTACCAAAAGTTGTTGATGTAGATAGATTTTCTTTAGCACTTGGATCTTTATCCTCTAATGATTTAGTTACATCATAACTCATATTAACTACTTCCTAATAATTTAATAGAATAATAATATACTTATGAAGGGATCTTTTTATCACTTGCTTATTTATTTAAATAACTATTATTAAGTGTTTGATTAGGATTATATTTTCTAAGACTCTTTGAAGAATTCTTCATTTTTTCATTTTCTTTTAGTAATAATTCTTTCTTTTTCTCCAATCTTGATAATTAATCTTACAATTCCATCTTTTATTATATAATATAATCTTTTTCTTAACTCCATTTAGCTCTTTCTTTTTCATGATAGAAAATTAGTTAAGATTATTTTTTATCTGATTCTCTCTATCTTTCTTCTAATTCATTAATTTTATTTCTCCAATACTCTTTTTCTTATTCTACTTCTTCATGATGTTCAAGTATACGTTGATCTCTTTCCTATTTTAATTCTTCAATTGTATTTAATAGTCTTTTCTCATTCTCTAATAATTCTGCAGTCTTTCTTTCAAATTGTTATCCAATCTTAGATTATTGATCAAGTAACTCTTTACTTTGAGATTGCTTAAGTTCTTTTTCCAATCTCTCAATTCTTTCTTAATAATCATCACATTTTTTTTAATGTTATTGTTATATATCTTTAACTTAATCTTAATACTTTCTTTCAATCTAATTTAACATTTCTGTTATATCTTGATTATGATCATTTCTTTCTAGACTTCTTTATCTTTATAATGTTTGAATTGTTGTTTCAAATTTTCTCATGGCATCAGCTAATTCTAGTTTCAATGATTCTCTTTATGATTCTAAGAATTATGTTTTTCCTTACTATAAAAATATTAAATTATAATAATACCCATAAAATCTTATCCTTCTCATAATTAGCCTATAATTCTTACTTCTCAAATTCAAGATTTGTCAATTATGATTTTAATTAATCTATATCAGATGATGATTTTGATTTTAATATATTAAATTATTCTCTTAATTATTTCAATTACATAGCAGCATTACTATTCTCTGATGATGTTTATTATTCATGTTCTCTTAATTTCTATTCTAAATATACAATCTTTTCATTAGACAAAGCAGTTTCTTTTTCTAAATCTTATTAAGCCTTCAATAAATAAGTTTCCTTTTCTCTTAATTGTTTCTTAAGCTATGTACTTTTAGATTCAATCAATTATTTCTCTTCATTTAATTTTGATAATCTATCTGATAGTTCTTAAGTCCATTCCTATTTCTATATTTTTATTCTCTCTTCATATTTCAAATTACAACTCTCCAATTATCTTTCCAATTCTTCAACCTTTTTGGCAAAAAATTCATTCTATTAAGCACTTAATGCTATAGCCTTTTCATAATTTATCTTCTTCTCTAAATATTCATCACAAGTAGCAGTATATTTTCTTCTCAAATCTTATAATGTCTCTTATAATTAAGTTTTCTCCTTTTCTTAATCTTCTTTCAATTATTTGAATTCACTTAATTTTTATTGGAATTTGACATCCAAGTTTTCTACTTTCTAAGTCATTAATTGATTTTCCTTAACTAATTATTAATTATTCTATTATTAATTAGTTAATTGACTTTCTAATGATTATATTGTCACATTAAGATTATTGATTCTTTATTCAACTTAAGTTTAGAAAGTATTTTATAATTAAACTAATTGTTCTTTTGTCTCATTTAAAATATTCTCCATAGAATTAAGTTATTTATTCTTTAATTCTATTTCATTATCATATTATTATTATTAAGTAGTTAAATTGATTTCCAAATCTCTTAATTCATCTTTTAATGTCTCTATTTCTTCTTCATATTATTATTGTTCATCTCTCATTTTCTATTCTTATTCTTCAAATAATATTTAATATTTCTAATCAGCTTTCTATCTTTCTTCATGAATTCTTCTCTCCAAAACATCTTTTTCCATTTCATAATAATTTCTTAATTCATTCACTTATTATTCAATACTATTTTTATCTACATTACCCATATTTTATAGTTATTATTTGCATTAACTTAATTCCTCTTCTAATTATTTAATTCTTTAATTCATTCTTAATTCCTTCTCTCTAAATTATGTATACTTATTTGATTCCATCTCTTTTAATTATTATTAAATCTTTTATTTCAATTCATCTTAAACTTAATAACTTTCATTTAATTCTTCTTATAATTTATTCTTTTCTTATAAGAATACATCCCCTCTCATTTCTGCTTCTTATAATTCTCCTTATAATTAATCTAATTATTATTGTAATTGTTTTCTTAACTATTATTAATTTTGTTCTGCTTATCTAATTTCAATCATATGTTATTCTTTCAAATCAATAAGAGATTTATTTAATTATTATTGATTTTATGTATTTTATGATTATTCTAAAGCCAACATTGCTGATTCATGAGATTTTTTGACATCATTTATAGTATTTTTCTTTTCTTCTAATTCCATCTACAAAAATTAAATTTATTGATTCAAAACTGCATCACTCTTCAATTATATTTATTTTTATTCTTATAATTTAATTTCCAATAATTTAACTTATTATTTATATTATTCACCAACTTCATTTGATTCTACTTACATTTAAGTCTATAACAATTCATCTTAAAGTTATTTATTTTTTGAAATTTCAATATTAATTTATTCTTGTAATGTTTATTATGATTACATTAATTTCTTGATAGCATTCGTCTAAGTCTCTTCTTTATGAGTTTAAACTTAATAATAATTTTCATATTTAATTTCTAATTACATTAATTAATCTGAAGTCTCCTATAACTTTTCATTTAATTACAAATTCTAAGCTCTTACTTCACTTAAAGTTTATTCATAAGATGCTGTTAATTCTCTCAATTTAACAGAAAACTCACTCTTAGATGTCATCAAAGATGAATCATATTATTTCTCTTTTTTGTTGAATTCATCATTCAACTTTTATAAATGTGATATTTTCTATTCTAATAATGCTTCTTTCTTTTTTGATTCACTCTACAAAATAAATTACTCTCTTTCTGCATTCTTTAATTATTCTTCAGCCATCTAACATTTCTATTTTAATTCTTCAAAACTAGTTTACAATTTATTATAATCATTTTCAAATTATGTTTTCATTTATTATGTAGTTTATGTATTCTTTTATTTCAACTTTTCTAATTCATCACATTATATTTTATATTTTTGAGTTATTTCATTATTTTATTAATTTAATTATTTAATTTATTAATTCTATTAATCTAATTATTTTTGTGAATCTATTTTTATAGTGTTCAATCCATTTTATAATTTATTTATTTGTTCTTCAGAAAACTTCTTATATCCTTCAAAATCCTATTGGATATTTTAAACAAAAAATGTAGCTCCCTCATTAGTCATCTTTTATATAAACTCTACAAACATTTATTTTCTTTTAACAACCTTAGGTCCATGTTCATCCAAAAAGATATTGAACAATTTTAAATCCTTTTCAAATTCAATATAAGATTTATATTCTGACATTTTTAATTTTTGATCGATAGGAGCAAATTATGATACCAAATATTATTTACATAAAGCCATAGATTCAGTTTCATTAAAAGCCAAAAGATTCTCAAATTTACCTTTAATCTTTTGTTTTAATTCATTTACATATGGAATTATTTCAGCATTATTCCCCATATGTGTAATAGCCTTATTCTTACATACTTTATTCAAAGCCTTTATATCCTCAAGAGTAGTTGGAAGTTTCGAAAGCAAATTTTCTTTAATCTATTTTTCATATATTTCAAATGCTTCTGTTTATAATTTTCTACATTCTTCTCTAAATACATATGTCCATGAACTCTCAATCGTAGCTACACATCCATTATTCATTGCTTATAAATAAGAACTAAATTAATTTTATACACTCTTACTTAATCAAATTAATATACATTCCACCTGTAAGTGTTTTCCCTCTAAATTACTTAGGTTTCACTTTAGAAAACAACATTTTCCTCAAAGATATTGCTTATTCATAAAATTCTGGTCTTAATTATTTAAGATCCAAATGTTAAAGTGATTATAATTAACTCTCATTATTAACTGGTCTTACTAATGTAAAACATTCCCTTTCAGGAAAAAATGTTCTCAATAATCTTCTTATTCTGTTCTTCTCCTCTACTCTATCACAAAATCCTGGTTATTCCTATAAAGATCTCTCTAAATATTGATGACTTGTAAGAGTGTCTCCATTGTTATCCAACAATTACAATGAAAAATCTCTCAATACCCAAAAGAATTAAGGCATAAATTCTCCGTATTCTTCAGAATCTGGCTCTTCATTTGATCTTAATTATATGAATTTTGTCAAATTGACAACAAAGCTTAATGATTCTAATGCACCTTCATCAATAGCTCCAACTGAATTATAAACAAATGAGGATGCCAATAAAACAGCAAGAGCAAATATTCTTGTGTCATGATTAACATCTGAGTCATTCAAAGCACCTGTTCCTTCTGAATCTACTATTAAAATTGAAGTCTTTCCAACTGTAATGGGTGTTCCCCAAACCCACATTCCTTTTGTGCATGGATTTACTGTTGGTCCAACTCCGAAACCATTGCTACGATTGAGTACTATTCTATTTAATAGATATGATTTCCCTGTTCTATACAAACCTGCTACTGAGATAATTGCAATTGGATTATTTATAGATCTAATCATTTTTGCCGCCTCTTCTGCCAAATTGTAAGCTATCTATTGAATATTTACTTACTTCTATTTTAAGCATCATATGTGATTAATGGAATTGCTTCTTCTTTATACATTGAAAAATTTGAATTTGAAAAATATAATAATTAACAATCATTATTTCTAATAAATTGCTTGTATTGGCAAACTTTTTATTATTAAAAACTTGTAATATTACATTCTCCTCAATTACTATAATATTACACTTATTAATTTTCTATTCTCATACTGATTAACGTATCATAATATTATTATCATTAATATTTGAACTATTTAATTCAGTTTTAAAATAGTATGTAGATCTTATTCTAAATGCATATATATAAATATATATAATCATATTGAATAGTTTTATAAGAAAATATTTAAATATTTAGTTAAATGTATATGATTTAAATTTATAAATAGAAAACCTATTAATTTAATTTTAATATTATAATAAGAATAAATATAATTTCATTACTATTCATCTTCAGAACCAACATCTTAAACTTCTTCTTATTACTCTTACTATTCTTAAGTACCATCCATATCTTCAAAACCTAATAAATCATCACAAAGATTATTTAAATGTAATTATTATGGATAATTTTTATTTGGCATTAATGATTCCAAATAATCTATAATAATAAATATTAATATTACATTCAATTTCTTATTCATCTAATTTTTCACCTTTTGTTTTTAATAATTCAGTAAATTAATCCCATGGCATTACTCCTGAGTCATTTGAAAGTGTTTTTAAAGCATCATATATTTATCCTTTTGTAACTCCATTTACAGGTTTATGATTAACATATAATTTAAGGAATGTATTAATTTCTAATTCTGATATTTATTCACCTGTTTCAAGATATTTTGAAAATTTAATCTCATTTATCATATTTTCAATTTCTTAATTTGTAGGAAAGTATCCCATTGATCTCATCATATCAGCAATAGCAGTTAATGGAACTAGACCATCTAATTTTCTAGCTTTAGTTGTATGTTCATCTTTTGATCTAATTTGACTATAATAAAAGAAGTCTTTTAAATCTCTTAATGTTTATCCTTCAGGTCCTCCATCTAATAAATTTGAAAATATTTCATATTCTGTTTCTTATGTTTAAAAATTATCTTCTAAAGCAGCAAAATCAACACTCCAAATATTAATTGCAAAATCATCACCACCAGATGTAAAAAATAATTTACCATCTTAAGTTGATGATAAATCAACAATTTTCTCAGGATGTGCAATCAAACCCATAGTTTTATTAGGATTACCATCTAAAGGTAATTTAATTATACCAACAACCTTTTCACCTGTAGAATATGCTAAATATTTATCTTAATATTCATTTTTCATATCACTTGGATTTAATAATAATAATCTCTTTATATGTCCACCAAAAGTTGGACCTAAACAAGTCTTTTTACAGATAATACGAAGATCTTTTAAAACTGTCCATAATTTTAATTTAAATTCACTATTTGTTGTTAATAAAACATCTTCTCTTTATAAATTGATTGGATACCAAATACATGCTGATGGTAAACATTCTTATTCAATAGAGACAACACTTCTTAATTTAACTCTATTATATGGATCTTAAGTTGGATCCAATACATCATAAACTGCCAATTTCATATCTTCTCCTATAGTGAACACTTTTAATTACACTTAATTCTTTTCATCAAGTGTTTCACCAAAGGCAACTGATTTAATTGGTCCATGATGTACTCTATATTTACCAGCAAATATCCATTCTTTTGATTATTTCAATTGACTATTAGGATCAAAATCAAAATTAAAAACACTAACTGCATAAGATTCATCAATAGTAGCAAAATATTTTGAATCAATACTAAA